CCTTAATCTCACTACTTAGCTTAATTGAATCAAGTTTAAAATTATCTAAGTAAGGGTTTAATTTAAATAAATCTAATTAATTCATTCTTAATCAAATTTCTCCCAAACTTCACATTAGGCTCTAAAAATTATGCTAATCACAAATATTAAATCAATTTTGGTCTCTGGTGACTCTAAGGCTTCCAATTTTCAGTTCAAAGTCATAATTTCAACAAGTTTGCCTACGAACAACAAATACAAATTCAAAATCATATAAATCACACAATCAAACATGTAATTTCACACCAAAGACATATTCACAAGTATAATTAAAGAATTAAAGCATAAGACGGAGTAGGGTTATCACAGTAATAATCTCTATATCCCCCCATTTCTCATTCGAATTATTGTAATAATCTTCCAACCCCACATCTTTCTAACCTTTTTATTTATGTGATTTATGTATAATATCATGTTTTATTTATCATATCCATGCTTTGCATCCATCTTTTATGCATTGAGATTCAGCTAAGTTGCATCTGTGGGTTTCATCAATTCTTATGTGCCTATGTGCGCTAACTCGTGCCTTGAAATGATTCACATATCATGTACTTAGATGCCAAATCTATAGTTTAATTTTTGTGCATGTATTGCATTAGCACCTCTTGTTTGCTTCTTACACTTGTAGTGTAATCTTGTTTACTAGCCTAGCTTACTTGATGTTGTAGCCTATTATTCTAGCATGAGTTAGCTCCATTCCAGCATGTTTTTGGCATTTCTTTACATGCTTAAGCTCTATTTTGAGTGGTCTTGGTCCCTTGAGACTTGCTTTGTATAGCTAAAGTGTAGTTAGCTTCATTAGCTTTGTGCTTTAGGCCCTTTAACATGCTTTATTTGAGTTATTTGCATGATATGGCATCATTTAGAATGTGATTTCAGAGCATATATTTCTATCATATTCTCACATATATCACTCTTTAATGGCTTTTAAGAGTTGTCCCTTATGCCTTGTTTGCAAGCCAACATGTGCACATGATCTTCCACTCTTTTGTGCTTTAATTTCAGCGCATTTTGGCCATTGTTTTAGCATGTTTGAGGTCTGTCTATGGTTGGTTTGGCCATTTGAGCATTGTGTTCCATGCCTCTAGTGTTGTGTCCTTCACTAGTTTCAATGCTTAAGTCCTTTAACATGTTGTGTACGTCATGATTGCATGTCTTGGCATCATTTAGCATGCAATTTCAGTGTATATAGTGTAGACACACTCTCACATATTCCACTCTTTCATCGCTTTTGAGAGTTGTCCTCTATGCCTTACTTGTGAGCCTACATGCGGACATGTTTTTCTAGCTATTCGAGCTTCAATTTCAGCATGTTGTAGTCTCTGATTTGGCATGATTAAGCTCTGTCCAGAGCTGGTTTGGTCGTGTATGCTTGGTATTGCATGCTTCTAAAGTGATGTTCTTTACTAGCTTAATGTATTTGGCTTTTGAGCATGCATTACATGAGTTGTTTGAATTGTTTTTAAGTCACTTAGCATGCTATTTCAGTGCTGAAATATGTGTCATGGCACTCCATTGTTTTAAACTTTCATTCACCTTGAAAGTGGCCTTAAGCCCCCTGTTGGCTTGAGCATGAACTTGAGGCATTCATGCCTAATGGTTTTAATCCTCCCTTGAGGATTTCTACTAACCAATAGCATGATACTTTCTTCATGCTCAAGGCACTTGAAGCTTGGGTCATCTTTCAAATTAGAGGACCTTTCACATTGAACTTAACCAGTTACCGGACTAATTGGTAAGTTAAAATGTGTAAACAAGAATTTAGTAAAGTAAAACATGCCAAGATAACATGTGTGTTTCATTGCATGTGTTTGGATCAGACGTTAATCCAAACACAAGAAATGTGAGACGTTTCATACTCAAAGTGATGAAACGTGTCGCATTTCTTGGTCGCCAACACCCTTGATCATGCATAATGGGGTGGAGGCACTTTGAGTCTTATGTGCGCATTCACTAAACTTGTACAAGCTTGGTTCTTCGGCCATCATGCATTGAGATGCTTGATTGGTGGCTTGAGAGCCGAGTACCACACTCCTTTGAGCTTGAGACATGATGAGGAGGGTGGTTGTATACACATTTCTTGCCAAATACATTGTCTTGGCTCTGTTGCTCTCTGTTGCAGCAAAGACAGAACTTTGGAAAGAGAAATGGTCGGCTGGCCACTTGCACTAGCCTACTGACCACTTGCACTAGCCGGTCGGCCAGTTCAGGTAGCCTACCAACCAGCTAAGGTGGTCGGGGGGCCACCTACAGGAGAAGTTGTCCAAAATGTTCTTATTTTGGGGCAGATGCAATCTGGAAGTTCATGTGATGTTCTGAGATCACCGCGAGTGCAAACAGAGGCAACTCATGGCAAGGCAATGCATTTTCGGGCGAAGCAAACCGAGCATGCATGTCTCCCTCGCCCCGAGGCCATTTTACTGCTTTACTTAGCTAGTTAATTTACTGATTTTGTAATTAATTAGTTAATGTGTTTAGCTAATTTAATTCATCTTTGTAATATTCTAATTAGCTTAGATTAGCTAGTTGTTCAATGTCATTTGGTTTGTAATTAATGAGCTAAGTTAGTTAATTAGTTGGTTTGTAATAGTTAGCTTAGCTTAGCATAGCTAGTTAGCTTATTTATTTGGACCCTCCTCCGAGAGGGCGCAATGTTGTAATAAGTGTGCGCGTGTGTGTGCATGTCTTCCAACCCTACTTCTTTCTCCCTTTTACTTAACCGCTTTCGATGGTTAGTTTTAGGGCATTTTTCAATTAGCATACCTTATGCTTTGCATGCGTGCATCATTCATTTGTCTTGCATGCACCGGGCTCGGCGCATCATTCAAACTGCATTGTATTTTAATACCTACTTGAATATGTGTATCAATTGTCGCAATCATATGCCATCTTAGATAGCCGAGCCTATTTAGTTTCATTTTGCATGTGTTGCATTAGGCATTTTAACATAGTTAGGATCATGTATGGTTTTCTAACTAGCTTTTGTTTTGGCTTGGAGTACACTGTAAGTGTTTACGCTTTAACATCCTTGCATGAGTGTGAGTGTTGCCATGATAGCATGCTTGCCATGAGGCTATGTGTTTATATGCTTAACTACTTGAATGCCTGTGGGTGAAGGCTTGATTGTCTGAATTGGAACAACTCGATGATTGTGAGTTTTAAGCCCACTTTGCGAAGTGGCAAAATCATGTTTTAAAGACCACTTGAGGGTGGCAAACCCGTGCTTTAGCCTACTTGCGAGTAACACTTTCAAACCATTTTAAAAAACAAACATGAATTATTTTGTTCCAATTCTCGTGATTGAGTCTATACTTGTATGTTGTGCGCATCACATAGTAAGTTAGATTTACAAAACAACATATCATGCTTAGTAGAGGCCGATCCTTTGATCGGGCGAGCGGGGGTACTCATTGTATGACCTTCCTCTCTTGTACCCAAGTTCTCGAGCCGAGGCAACTTTGGTGATGACGGATACGTGGCCTTTGGCACGAGTCAGGGTTTCCTAAATTTCCCAAAACAAAATATTTAAGTAGCGACTCTATAATCTGGCAAAGTAGTCCATGTTTGGCGCTTTTTATTCAAAATTGATTTTCCAAAACGATTTGCCGGATTTGGATTCTTTGGTGTTTATCAGTCTCACATTGCACTTTTTGAGATTAGATTCAGAACTGTGATAGGAGTTCGAACTGTAGTAAGACCAATTCACGCCTCTCTGAAAGGGGGGCGCGAAGAAAGTCGGGTCTACAACAGGTTTCCTAATTTTCCCAAAAGATTAGGTGGCGACTCTAACACCTAGTGATATAGTTCATTTCTAGTATATTTTGCAACAAATGGATTTTCTGTAAAAATTGTTGAATTTGGAATTTCATTTTATGTTTCACATTACACTATTGAGACTAGATCAGGAGATTGGGAGTCTGAATTGTTGGGCACGCTTAGTAACCCCAAAAGCATCCCACAAAAGGCTAGCAGCTCCCCTCTCAAGCTTTACCTCCATTAAACTCTTCGGTTCGGCCTTGATTCCAATAGTCTTTAGGGTAGAGGAGGGACCAAAAGCCTCCGCCTCCAAGTCCACAAGTATCCTTCTCTTCATCATCAATCTGCATCTTGCGAAACTAGGGACAAGAGAAGGGGTTTTAGTGGATTGCCTTCTAGCACGGTGGCAGTTGGTAATCAGTAGAGCAAGAGGTGTCTCCGTTTCGGTATCAGAATCTAGTAAGGCTGCAACAAGTTTGGCTTTCTTTGGGATGGTGGTTCAGTAAGTAGCTTGATAGTCCAACAGTTCATGGGTAGATCTCTTCTTATACCTAGGACGACTTTGATCTCTTCAGTGTTCTCGTGGTTTGGCCTCATTTGGTAGCAAAAAGGCTTAGCAAAATAAAGAACATAGTCAGCGAAACAGCCAAACAGAACAGATAAATGATAGATTCAAAAAGGCTGAAATACAAAGGTAGAGATTGAGACCTAGATAATCATCTTTTTGGGGCATCCATTCGGTTTGAATCTTAGTCCTAGCAAGGAACTCCCAATTTCCTCCGACTTGAAGAAAGTTGTCATTGTGTTTGTCAGAATCAGGCAAGGTAGTAACTAGATGGGAATCAATAGAGCAAACATAAAGATAGTAGGTACTATGGTCTTTGTTGTGTGAAAATGTATAATAGCCCAAAATACCCCAGACATCTAGGTTCAAATCTAGTTTCTATTCAGGGCAAAGACACCACAGACCACCTGAAAAAGGTTTACTGACACTTGTATGGGAGAGAGTTGAACTTTATGAAGAAAACGGCGAACTAGGGTGTCACGACCCCATCCTGTCCCAAACAGGATAGTAGTTATGTAGTACTTGACTACCAAAGGCCTAGCAAGACAAGACAAGACTGGACTAAAACATTGGGGCTTATGCGAAAAACATCTACTCATTAATTACCAAAAGTCCATTTAAAGTATGTACATAAGTCATATAAAACAAACAAACAACTTCTCATTTATTATCTTTGAGATTTACAAGTCCAACAACAAAAGAAAAGTACAATATTATGAATATACACCTAAACAAAAACCAAAACTTATATACAAAGCCATCATCTCTAGATTGTCACTTCCAAAATTACAAAAACAAAAGGAAAAGACTTCTAACTCGATCTCTCTTCTTGAACTTGATCTTCGTCATCACCTACATATATATATGGGAGAGTGGTGAGTCAAAGCCCAATGAATAGTAATATAGTAAAGTGGTAAATGAAAACAAGAACAAGATCATTTGAGCAAAACATAATTTGTCAAACAAAGCAGGCTTATCTTGCAAGCATGTACATAGCGATGAACATTCAAAAACTTTCGAATCATGAATCCACAACAAGTGGCTAGAGGAGCTCAATTACCTAGAGGTTATTGGCATGATTCCTAGTAACAAACATGTTCCAATATGTCATCTTAATACATGATACAAAAATATAGGATGTTCATTCATAACAAAATGTTACCATAGTTTTCTTAAACATACATAAGTTTACATTTCGAATCATAACTTTAATGAACATAACTTTACTACACTACTACTCACAATTGGCTTCGTGAACGAGGGTTTAACTTCTTCTTCAAGGCTTAACCTACACAAAACAAGAACAATACATTAAAACTCTTAACTTACTTGCATTAACTTAACAAATCATTTGTCTAATCTTAACTAAACATTTTCTTACATTCTCTCAAGTATTTTAGCATTACTCTAGGTCCAATTCAAGTCTTAACTAAGTGTCAAATGCATACAAGAAGTGTCCTATATGAAAAAGGATCATGAAACAAAAGTGCACATGAAACAAGGGATTTCCGCATGTGCGGAGCCCAAACCACACGTGCCTTTATTTCAGAACCAAAAATGTAATCTCATGAAGCTGGCCGCATGTGCGGTTCTGGGTAAATCCTATCTATCCAAAAATCTGCTATGTTCTAAGTGTTTTTCCTTTGGTTCCAAGCCTAGGGTTTAAGCATGATCAATCTAAAATATGTATATTTGATGTCAAACATAAAAGTATGATTGTTTTCCAAATCAAAACAGCAAAACACAATGAAATCCCAAGATTCAAACGTCAAATTCATAGTTCAAGTTAAGAAATTGTTGAACCTAGTTTCTTCAAACTCTTTTCCAAAACTTTACTTTCTTTCTCTTAAAACATGATCTCAAATATGCAAAACTCTTGAAAATCAAAAGAAGATATGGAGATAAAGATTCAAATGCATTAAGAACATCCAAAACTACTTCAAAATGGTAGAATTCTAAGGTTTCTACCTAGTTTTTCAACTTAAATAAACCTTTCTCATTATTTCCCTTATTTCTTCATTTCTATTTCAAATTGATCCTAACTTTTCTTGATTTTAGATGCTAGGAGAGTTTATTACAAGATTTAGGTTAGAAATCCTACCTTAGAACACCTTTTTAGAATGAATTTGATGAAGTTCCCTTGAGTTCTTCTTTTTTTCCCTTCTTTCTCTCTTTTTCTTATTTATTCCTCTTTTCTCTAGCTCCTTCACGTTAGTTCTAGGCTGCAGATTTTATTTATTTGGTTTGGGCTAAGCTTTTATTTGGTGAGGTAGGGCAAAAGTTGGAAAAGTTTTCTAGCTTCATTAATTGGCTAATCCTACTCACTTGGCTTAGTTTAATTAAGATTAATACTAATTAATCAAGGTTTGGCTTAATCATACTTAATCCTAATTAAGACTCACTAATTATACTTAATTAACACTAATCCCGATTAACAAAATTTTTATAAAATGAAATGGACAAGCACAATAGACTAAGGTTCTTAAGCTCCTCAATTAGTACTAAGGCACATGCTATTGTTCTCAAATCAAGTCCTAAAGTCATTCCCCTAACTCAAAGCACAAAATAAATTAATCCTAGACATAACTTTTCAAATTAGTTTCTTATTCTCTTCCTAATGCTAACAAGCTATATTTCACATAAGCATATAACATGTAGCATGAATGTAAGAATAATAGAATATGCATTGTGCATAAATGGTTTGGTTGTCACATTAGCCCTTCTTTGACAATGACAACAACAGGAAACGCAGAGGTAGACCTTGTTCCCATGCATTTGGCATCATCCTTTGCCAACGCAAGGGTAACATCGTCCGAAATCCCATAATCACGACGAAATAGGGACATTGCCTCTAGAGTATCGATTAAGGCACGAAACTTGCCCATGACCCAGACCCAAAGAAGGAAAAACAAAGCAACTCTAAGAAAATGTCAGGAAAATGGTGCATATCGTCGAAAACAACGGCACAAGGCCCAAGAATGGCAACAGAGACTGAAAAACACAAAGAAAAAGAGATTCAAGGGAACTTATAGAGATTCGATGGATGAGCAACGATCGTCAAGGAAAAATGTGGATTCTGAAGTTTGGAATCAGAAAGGAACGGCGATATCTAAAGACCAACAGCACCGGAGACGAGTCGGAGTAGCACACTATATGAACCAAAGAGGAAAGAAGACGGGTTTTGGGAATAGTTGGAAAGTTGAAAGGACAACCCCTAGGGTTTTTATTACCCTTAATAGATGTGATGGTACGAGTCACGTCCTTTTGTAGAGGAATGATGCATTACCTCTACGCAGCAATGCCATGCTGTCATGTGTCCTTGCAAAAGGACACATGCGAAGTGCATGTGTTAGAATTTGAACTGCCACCAAGACCAAACTGAAAAAGATTAGAAGCGACGCAACGGTTGAAGTACCGATTAGTAGCTCTTACCAAGAGAACCTTAGTGTGAGCTAAGGGGCAAATGAAGGGGCAAAATATAAATGGGGCGGATCCAAGCCTTGGGTTAGTCGAAACCACTAAACCTAAACCCAAATGGCCATTCGATATAGAGCAAATACCTACGTGGGCTAAACTATTGAGCCTATCTCCACACAATTATCCTCTCAAGTCTTGAAGCACTTGGGCCAAGGGCATAAAGGAATAGGCCAGCTCAAGCATGGTACTGAACTGGGCTGAACTCGTCAATAAAACCAAAGTCGACTAAACCCACTCAAGGCCATCCAAATGGGCCAACCCATCTCTACGAGCAACCTCATGAAAGGTCAAACTGGTGTATGAATAGAACCGAGCTGAGGAATCCCTAAGCAAACATGGATATTATGAACACATGCATGTGTAAGGTGCTCCCTCAGTTGGTCTCCCTTTTCTAGAATCACAGAATCAGTTGACAGAGGGAATGTGATATGTTATATACATGATTACATTGAGCACTTGACTCCATGGTTAACTACCTTGTGGTCCCCTACCTTAAGCAATGCCAAAGAGAGCCCTGAGATACCCAAATTTCATGAACCCATCTTGGAAACAAGCAAAGTCTTCTACAAGCAACACTCTCTTCATATTGAAGGTAGCCAAAAATTATTATAGTCAGCCAAAAATTAATATAGTCTACTAAAATAACCAACATCTCAAATGAGGTCATAAGTTTTGATATTTGTAAATTTGATTCTCATAAATGTTACAAGTCAATCGTATGAGAGTCATAATTAAAAAAAATTATAACCAAATAGCACATAAAATATAATCAATTTTTTTTAAATAATAATTAAAATAATAGCATAATTAATATCAAAACAAACATAAAATAAATTATAAATACACCTCTTGAGATTTGCTTATAATACGAATTACCTCTTGAGGTTTGCTTATAATACGGATTGTTCCCGTTGATTTGAAAAATTACAAATACCTCCTTATTAAAAAAATTTATTTGATAAAATTAATTGAAAAAATAAAATTTATAACTTGCTCTCTTATACAATAATAAAATTATCTGAATTATTAATTGAAATAAATTTATGATCTCATTAAAAATTATTAATTGATTTGATAATTTATTAATAAAATGAACAATTTTGCTATGAAATTAAAATTTTCAAGAGGCGAGATATAATTTTCAAAGTTATAAATTAATTATATTTAAAAAAGTATTTATAATTTACCATAAATATAATAAATAACACCACAATAATTGATACTAATCAAAATTACAAAGTTTGTTAAAAGGGGCATGTACGTCAAATTTCCCTAGATAGATACATAGATAGATAGAAGGGAGAGGCGGAACCGTGAAAGCGATCAGAAGCAGGTATGTTGTTGTTTTCCTATTGCTCTCCAGTTAGGTTTTCTCCGAGAAATATTTCTAGTGTTTGAAAGTCGTTGCGTTTCTAAGTTGCAAATGCGATGAGTTATGATGAATTATTATAAATAAAATAAAAAAAACTAATTACCTTCAATCTTTTAGTTTGTCAATTGCTGCCCGTGATCTTCCAACACTGTACTGAATAGCCTGAATGGGTCGCCATAGACTATGATTGATTGCCAGCGAATACCCTAGGTCAGAAATGAACCACACATTTTTTTGTTTTATTTTATCACTCGGTGTCGGATCAGCTTACGCGCACCCTGCACCTGACTAATCCGGGATCCACGCAAAGTGGCCTCTCCATGTGGATAGGGCAAATTTGGGCGGAGCTCGCGGGCCTGGCCCAAAGAGCGAATCGCTGATTATAGTTGAACTTGAGACTGGAGGGGAGCACACCTCCTAGCCCCAAGTTGTTAAATACTGAAAATTCTATAATACACACTGATTTTTATCATATACCCCAGTTATTTGACATTTATGATTTTGATTATGACTCAGTAGTTATGATTTAATTATGATTCATTTTGTGTTGATTGAGGCTTATAGATTACCTCTTATCATTGTTATCTTAATCATGACCAAAAAGGTGTTTGGTTATGAGTCATCGCCATGTTGGTTATTATCTATTGTGGTTGTTATTATAACCTAAAAGGCCTTTAGTTATACTTCAAGTGGTGTTTAGTTATAATCTATTGTGGTGTTTTTAAATTATTTTGTTATGACACTTTGTGAAATCAACACCACAATGTCATAACTTGCATATATTACACTCCTTATAAGGGGTGTGTATGGTAGAATGACACCCGATAGATTTAATAGATGTTAAATGCTTTTATGATGCTTAGATGTTTCTTTAAGCATATCATTTTGTGGGTTCATAAAATTTTAGACTTGCAACATGTCTCATACGGTTAAGTGAAAGCAAATAATTTTGTGAACAAGGAACTAATCATGATTATTCAAACAACCAGTGATATAAAAGAGTAGTACAAGTTCTGTGACATACTATTTTGACAAAAATTGGCTACAACTGTTTTTTGCACCACTTTGATAAACTTTCTGGTGATTTATAACCTTTCTAGCTTTTGGAAGTCCTGCCGTGACAATCCTCCTTTTGTCAAGGTCCAAAATAATTTCCTTACATGTTTTTTGCCCTTTCCAACAAAGTCAAAATGTGAGTTGTTCTCATTGTGCTCAAGTATGAACTTAAAAAATTTATAAAAAATCACAACCATGTTTTAACAGTCCTCTCCTCTTATTATTATTATTATTATTATTATTATTATTATTATTATGGACTTGACTTGGATGACAAAGAAAACAACAATGCTACGGACAATCCATTTATCACTGCCTCTCTTACAAGGCAGTGGGGCCCATTAGCATTCCCCACTTCCTTGTGAGAGAGGCGGTGAGAAATGCAGTGATATGATTCTCTTGCTCTAATTTATTTGCAGAAGACTAATGCAATAATAAGAAATTAGAGGGAGCAATATCTAAATCTCAAGCATTATGAGACCACCTGCTCTTCACTCCAATTTTTTCTCATCTCTCAAACAGGTAAATCTCATGCCCCACTCTTTGCCTCTCTCTCTATATGTATATATATTTATATATGTATGCAGATAGATATGCTTTTGATTCTTTCTCACATGTATGTGAACAGGTGGAGAAGAGACTCAAACTAGAGAACCCTTCAGAAGCCTCCACTCTCTATTCACAACCACCACTGCCACCACAACCACCAGGGGAAACTAGCTATACTCCAGTTGAATCTCTGAGCTCCCCTATATTCCTTAATTTTGACCAACCCAACAGCACAAACAACAATAACAGCTCATCCCTCCAAGACAGTGAGCCCCCAAGACAATTCCTTTCAAATTCCCTTGATTTCCCACCACTCCATGAAGACATACCTCAAGCAGAGATCATACACAACCCACAATTAATCAACAGAGTTGAATTCAATAATGTTGACGAGATTGAATTATTAATTCAGCTTTTGGGTTTGTCAGATTGTGAAGAAGAAGAAGAAGAGCGAAACAAGGTTGATTTGGATTTAAAGAATTGTGGTGAGACCTGTGGTTATGAATGTGGATTCTATTCAAAGATGATTGGAGTTAAGGGGCCCAAATGTGGAAGGGAGATGGGGAGGTTGGAGGCATGGATTAAGCATTTTTTGAATGATGGTGGAGAGGGAAGGAGAGAGCCTTTGAGATTGACCCATTTGCTTTTGGGCAAAGCTGCCTTTCTCTCCGAGTGTGGTGATGGTTTTGGAAGATTTGAGTTCCCCTCAACTATAGCAGAGTTCTTGCAGAATGATCCTCCTAAAGATTAGGCTTCGCTTGGAGAAAATATTCATGAGAACAACCAGCCACTACCCATGGTGAATATCAAACTATGTGGAAGTCCTCTATTTTCGCAAGTGGTGATTTTATTGTATTGGCAATGTTATGTATGGATCACTTTTTGATTATTTATACTATTGTCAATTTGCTGATGGATGTTAACTTGATATTTAAGGATTTGATGTTCCCTTTCACTCAAAGGAGTACAATTCTAACTTCAAAAAGTGATTGAATTTTGCAATATTATTTTTGTTTATTTCTTTTTATTTAGTTTCTTGCTTTGTTATTTGCATCATAAAGTAGATTATCTTATCAAATGATACACAACTTGGCTAGAACATGGTCTTGGCTATGTCATGCTTCGACCTCCTTCTGTAACATTTAAAAATCAAAATTTTTTATTTAAATTGGAACCAGAATGAATGTTGCAGGATTTTGGAGCATTCAGAGTCCACTTTGAAGCATAACCAGCACAATCATAATCTCACACCAGCATAGAAAAGTTGGTTACCAGTCCATTTGACAACTGAGTTTGCAGTTTTTTGCTTGTTAAAGCATCGGTGCTTCTGATCTGGTCTCATGTTGAAAGCGTCAGTGAGGAAAGCATTATCACTGTTTGGATACTATCCTGTGCTTGCTTAGCTTCAAAATGGAAGACAAGATTTCATCCATGTCAGGTCGGTCCTCAGGAGCTGTGCAGGTGCAAGACAAGGCTAATTTAAGGAGCGCTTCCACCATTTCCTGCTCCTTGGAGACTTGTGAAGCTAGTAGAGGGTCGACAACGTGAAGTAGCCTATTGATTCCATTTGCTAGTGCTCTCTCCACGAGTTGAGGCAAAGTGATTGATAACCCATCCTCCTGGGTGAGTCCTGTTGGCCTTCGCTTTGTTAAGAGTTCCATTACTATTATACCGAAGCTGAACACGTCTACTTTGGTTGTAACCTTCCTCATATATGCAAACTCTGATCACAACACAAACAATTTTGGGAAGATTAAGAATCAACTGTTAGGCAAGACTGACATAGTAATAACTCGATGTTAATGGTGGAGTACAATGGAAAATTGATGAAGAAACATAGTTTGATATTCACATTTTTTATATTTGATATTTTGTCAAATTCATCGGTTCGATTGATGTAAAGAAGCTATTAATTGAACATAATGCCAGTTAGAGCTGTCTTTAGACAGATCTCTTTCTTAGATGACAACAATTTATTATTTTTTTAGATTTTGCTGTTATGTTTCACAGTTCGTCATGCCCATTATAACGCGACTAGGAAGATGAGAATTTTTCATTCCAGTAAGGAGATAAAATATGGAGCAAAATGCATCTCATGTCTAGCTCAATTTATGAGAAACAAGACACATAATCTATCAATTTCCTAGAAAGCACATCCTATACACCAAGAAACATAATTCTCTCTCCCTTTGATACATGCCTTCAATTCAGTATATGTCAGTTTGAAATGCTACTTTGTTGAATTCTATCAAACAAATAGAAGGTTTGAAGAATCTTTTTTGAGTTTATTGTTTGTTCCCACATGACTTGCTCTACTGCACAAAATAAGAACAGAAGAGAGAGAGAGAGTAAAATTGAACAAACTATGGAACTCGTTTTGTACTGAATAATCAGCGTAACTGTCGAAGATAGTTTGAGGTGTTGGTTTCAGTTCTTGTTATTGAACAAATAATCAAATTTAAAAACAGTGCAAAAGAAATTATGGGATTTTACATATAGCCCTTTGCTTTGTAATGGCCAAACATTGCTGCAATTATACAATTCTAGAATTACAGTTCATTCTAGAATAATGTTGATTTAACTTATTTTGATTACTTTGTGATTGTAAATGGATCTTGGGAGAAAACTTCTTTATGACCAGGTACAAAATGGGTGGCTTGGGAGAGCTCGGGTGGAAAGTTGCTGCTGCTATTAAATCGGTGCAAGTTCTATAAAGTTTGCAAGCAGGAGGCTATGGCTGGTTTTCTGGTGCTGCAATGGCTGGAATCTTGGGGTTTGGGCAATGTTCTGGTGTGTACAGATAGTGAACTTCTGGTTAAGGGACTCTTGGGGAAGATGATGGCTCAGATAGATATCTCTACAATTGTAGAGCACAGTAAAACCATGCTAGGTTGTCTTTGTAATGTTTTGATTGTAAAAACTCACAAATCATATGTGAAATCAGCACAATTAGCAACTAGACTAGCTAGGGATGCTTATTTTGATACTGTGTGGGATGTATTGTGTTTCTATCTATTATAATTGAAGTTCTTTCAGGCTCTGTCTCTATGTCTCTCTCTATATATATATCTCAAATTTTCGACTTATTTACATAAGCTGAAGGCTTGAGCATTATCTTCAAAGGCAGAGCAACTGAAACCCTTTTAAAAATAAAGTAAATTTTGAAGCTACGATATATCTAGCATGAAATTTCTCTCTCCCAATTACAGACTAATTGGAACCGTTTCATTTGTTTGAGTGGTCACGACTCACAATAAATATCAAAATAATTTCAATATTCTAGATTTTATACACCTACAATGAACTTCATGACGCAGAGAAGAAAGTTCAATGTTACCTGGTGCTATATAGCCAATGGTGCCCTGGAAGGCGGATGAGGAAAGGCTGCTCCCATCCTGGAGATGAACACCCAGCATTCGAGCAGTTCCAAAATCGCTTACATGGGCCTCCCATTTTTCATCCAAAAGGATATTAGAAGGTTTCAAATCACAATGAACTATGGGGAAATCATAACCTGAATGCAGATAAACCAAGCCACTCGCGACAGAGACTAAAGTGTCGATTCTGTGTGACAACGTCCATCTTGAATGATCTGTGCAAGGGTCGTGAATGATGCTCTCCATGTTCCCATTCTCCATATACTCCAGAACTAAAGCCTTCAGCTTCCTGCTTTCCCAAGCATAACCAAGTATCTTCACCAGATTGCGGTGTCTCAGTTGGCTCAGAGTCTTGATTTCGTTGTAGAAGCACTTGTCAGACTCTGCCGGAAACTGTTGCAAGTTCAATTTCTTTACTGCTATTGTCTGCCCATCTTCCAATCTACCCTTGTACACCGTGCTCAAACTACTTACTCCAATGACGTTATCTTCACTGAAGAAATCAGTGGCATGTTCCAAATCCTTTTGATCAAACCTCTCCAGGGATAATGCTGAAGCATACTCCGGTTCTGAATTCTCAACCCGTTCTGGTTTTTCCTTTTTGGTGTATCGGTTAAAGATGCAGAGTACCAGTACCAGAAATAGGAGTACAGAAACAGATCCAAGTACTGCTAGAATGAGGATGGTTTTCTTTGATAAGCCATAGTTCTTTGTGCTGCATGGGCTAAGAAAGCTGGTTGTTCCACATAGAGCTTGGTTTCCTTCCAAACTAGATGCATTTATGTTCTTAAAGATACCACTCCCTGGAACACGACCTTCAAGTTGATTGAACGAAAGATTGAGATGTTTCAAGGAGGAAATATTTGCATAACTCTCGGGAATCATGCCCTTGAGCCTGTTTTGAGAAAGGTCGAGGGAGCTGAGATGCTTCAAATTTGCCAAATTTTCAGGGAGTGTACCATCCAGGAGATTCCTTGAGAGGTTCAATCTTGTAAGCATATTAATCTGACTAAATATTTTACCTGGTATTGGACCACCAAGTTTATTCCCTGACAGATCAACATAGAACAAATTTCTGCAGCCTTCAAGCGATTCAGGAATGTTTCCTGACAAATTATTGTTTGAGATGTCAATGGCTTGTACCATTTCTAATTTGCCAAGCTCATCTGGAATTGTTCCGGCCAAGAAATTGTATGAGAAATTCAGATATATCTGCATGTTTTTCATACTTGCAATCACAGACCCAGGAATAAGTCCCGTGAGATGGTTATGTGAGAGGTCCAAGCTTGTTAGTCGACTAAGTTGTGCCATACCTTTTGGGATAGACCCATTAAGCATGTTCCCACTGAGATCCAAGTATGAAAGAAACTCAAGCTTTGCAAAAGCATCTGGAATGGGACCTCTGAACCTATTGTACTGAAGCTGAACATTAGTGAGCTGTTTGAGCTCAAAAATTTGATCTGGGATTGGTCCTTCAAGTGCATTTTTGTGTAGAAAAAGTCCTTGGAGGAGAGAGAGTTTTGACAGTTGAGGAGGAACTAGGCCTGAAAGATTATTTGTGTGGAGCCACAAGGACATCAGTTTAGTTAGATTTCCAATCTCTCTCGGGATTGTTCCAACAAATGAATTGAAATGGAGTTGCAATATTTGGAGATTAAAGAGGTTGCCAATGCCTGGTTTAAGTGATCCACTGAAATTGTTCTCACCCAAATTTAGTTTTTCAAGATTTGAGCAATTGAAGAGGTCATCTGGAATTTCACCAAACATGTTATTTGGACCAAGAGATAGGACTGTAAGATTTGTCAACTGGCCCAATCCCTGAGGAATTTGCCCATTCAGTTTATTGTAAGCTAAATCAATATAAAGAAGACGCGTACAATTGGTGATACTGGACGGGATAGATCCCTCGAGAAGATTACGATTCGAGGATAGGTTCTTCAAATTGTACAACAATCCAATATTTGATGGAAGTGAGCCTGTGAGGAAATTCAAGCCTAATGACAAATACGTCAAATTGGACAAGGTTGTTAGCGACGGTGGAATCTCACCAGTTAACCTATTGGAATGGAGGGTCAATATTCGTAACGATCTCAAAGATCCGATTTCAGAAGGTATTGTACCCATTAACTCATTCTGTGATAGTCCCAAATAGATTATTGATTTGGCTTGGAATAAAGGGAGTGGGATTGTTGAATTCAACTTGTTTTGGTACAACCTCAAGGATTCCAAGTTGGCCAAATGTCCAAGTTCAGGAGGAATGCTTCCAGTGAATTGGTTGGTATATATGTTTACAAGAACAAGCTTCCTACAATGACCAAGTTCAGAGGGAATTTTCCCAACAAGCAAATTATCAAACAACTGAAGTTCTTCTAAATTTGTCAAATTCCCTATCTCTCGTGGTATTACACCCGACAACTGGTTTTGACTTAGGTCAAAAGCTTGCAGAGCTTCCAATCTTCCAATGGAAGTAGGAATAGAACCTACCAAGCTGTTATCAAAAGCTACAAAAAGCTGAAGATTAACTAAATTGCCAAAGTTGGATGGGATTGTACCGGTGAGATTGTTGAAGATGATGCCGAGTTCTAACAAGGCTGTGCAGTTGCATATATTTTCAGGTATGCTACCATTCAAGGAATTGTTTCCCAAGTCTATTGACTGCACATTCCTAAGGTTTCCTAGTTCAGGTGGAATTGGACCGGAAAGGGAATTGGAGTAAAAACTCAGCTCCAATAGCTGTGAGCAAAGCCCCAGCTGTGGGGGGATGTGCCCAGTTAAGGAATTTAAAGACAAATCAAGGATTTGAAGAGTGGAAATATTTCCAAGAAATGGAGAGATTTCACCTTTGAGTTGCTTGTCAGGGAAGGAAACTGAAATGACTTGATTTGAGGAAGTGTCACATGCAATTCCAGACCAATTGCAGTGATGAAGCTTTGTGTTATTCCAATCCAGGAGGGCACCAAATGGGTCATTGGTGATTGAATTCTTGAATGCTTTCAAGGCCTCAATTTGAACTTCCGAGCTTGGTTCTAAAGATATAACACTCCCCACTAAGACAGAACAAACTAGAAATGCAATGAAACCAACACTTCCAGTTTGAGAAACCATTACCATTATTGCTCCTATCTACAACAGAAACAATTGAGATTTTGAGATTTGAGATCACCCAGATGGAACTTTATACATGTGAGTCTTCCCACAAGTCTGAACTGTCCAAAGAGTCAAATATATTTGATGCTTTGAACCTAAACAAATACGTCAACTCTATACTATGAGCTAAAAACCCAACTTGGGCAGAAGATAGGACTTGATCACTAACTCTACATGTAAGAGAGAAGGTTTGAACCTAAACAAATACATCAACTCTAAACTATGAGCTAAAAACCCAACTTGGGTAGAAGATAGGACTGGATCACTAATTCTACATGTAAGAGAGAAGGATATAAAGGAAAATGAGTGAGACTGTCAATTTTGGAGTTTCACTCTAAAATATTCTGGGCTATTCAAGTAAGTATTTGTTTTTTTGTTTTTGTTTATTTATTTATTTATTCCTATCACAGGAGTGATTCAAATGAATTTAAAGATTATGAGATCTTTAAATTTGGGGTCTAAGTCATTATTATTTTTAATTATAATAGTATTGAAAGCTTAGGACTAAGACCTACCCACCAAATCAAAACAGTAACCTATAGCCCCACCAAAATATATCACCACATGTTACTTTTACCTTTTCACTTCAAAATTCTAGAAATACTTTTAAATTATCACATTTATATACCTAATTTAATTTATCATATAATGTGTTACCACTGTACTAATAACAGAACTTAAGTCTCATTTAGGAATAAATTATTTTAATAATTTTTTGATTTTTACAATACGATATACAAAAAAGTATAGAGAGGTGATAATTTATAGTGATTTTTTGACTTTTTAATTAAAATAGTTACTCTTCAAACAATGCCTTAGTAGTGAGATGTATTCAACCAATATAATTATAATAAATGAGATGATAAACCTAACATGATATATTATAACATTATTCATTATAACTTAGAGAATTATTAGGCAATACTTGAATCATTAATTTCTTAATAAAGTGGTGGGGTTATTGAGCTAGCACTAATTTATGTAAAAATTTTATGTGTAATGACAAATGATTTATTTATTTATCTATTTTGGAAAATAACTAATTAGTCATATTTTTCTTAAAGAAAAAATCATTTAGTCCTATCAATTTTTTTATTAAGACAATTCAATCCTATTTTAAATAAAACAATCTCGCAAAGTCTTATTTTTCTTAGTTCTCTCTTATACACATTTAAGAGAGTCGACCTTTAAGAAAAATATTTATCTTGTGGATATATATATTTGTTAGATTATTTATTTTTTAATGAGATGATTGCTAAAGCAAAATATTGAACATTGTCGGAATCTATGCAATTTCCATTGGATTTTAATTTTCAAGCCACTATCAATTTTTGGATGCTATTACATATAAATCTAGAAGTCCAAATGTTAATATAATATTGTTTCTGATTTTTTACTGAAGTTGATCATTAAATTGTGAGTAGAAGTGTAATTAATATGCATGGAAAATGACAAAATTAGAAGAAAGTATATTACTACTGTAGTTTGAATTATTTTGAAACAATTTATTTACAATGTGTTTGGTTGGGGGATTTAGGGAGAGATTTGGAAAGGGAAAATGTGTGTGAAACTAGATGAAATATAGGTATGTTTTATTCACATTTCACCTATCTTTTCCATTTCTCTTTCCAAAACTCGACTCAAATCCCCCAACCAAACACAGCATTAAAGTATGATTGAATTGTCCTAATTAAAAATAAAAATGTCAGAGATTTTAAAAGTTTTACCAAACTTTTTACTAAATATCTTACATGATAAGTTCCAAACCTATGTGAGAGATTTGGTAGACATTTTAATAGAACTTTTGAGCTCTCTAGCATTACTCAATAGAAAATTAACATGACTTTGATTTTTCTTTTAAAAGAAAACAAACTTATTGTTTTTTTTAATTATTATTATTATACCTTGAACAGTTGTAGGAAGCTTGTTAAAGCATCATTGTTAAAACAAACTTATCAGTGATATTTTTGTAATTTGCAATCATTTTGATATATATATTTTGTTTTAAAGTGATAAATTCACAATATAGTCACATCATTTTATACAAATATTTTGTAAATTATATTTATTATTATGTTTTTTTGTATTACATTATTCATTTTTTAATTATAATGTAAGAGTGGTCATAATAAAGTTCTTACGTGGAGGTATGTAATTACCTCGAAGTGTACGTTAATCCAAAACAACAAAATTGAACAATTTTTATGTAAGCCCTTTTCATTGAAAAGTTGGTTTATAGGGAAAAATTAATTGGAAAAAATATATATAGGTAAGTTTGTAGGTATTTAGAATATTTACGTAGCATGCGCTGTTTCATGCCCAGTAAAATCAAGGGTAAATTGCTTCTTATAATTTAGAATTTGTATCATTTTATTTTTGAGAAAATTAGTCTAAATTTTCTCTTCTAATTTTAGTAATGGAAGAGATCCATAATATTATTTTATGATATCTAAAGTTCATCAGCCTCACACCAATGCATTACAGAGAAATTTGGTATAAACTTGAAACCTTCACCTCCTTTATCATCATCTTCATTCCCACAATCTTTCCCACTCTCATTTGCACTTTCCAATGACCCATTCTGATCAAACTCCTCATTCTTATCAGAACCATCCCTAATCAACTCACTTGAATCACCATCACCCAAACCCTTCTCATCATCTTGTCTCTCATGTTCACCGAAATCTTTCTCAACCTCAACAATCAGAGTTTTGTTTGAAACTTCAACATCACAGACGTCGTCACCGTTCAAACCCTCACTTGAAACCCTAACCCCATTTTCATGATCTCGAATAGCAAACCTAGTTCAGACGTAGAGAGAGCTGGTTCGGAAGAGAAATAGGCATTAATCTGAGCTAGGGTTTTTGTTGTATCAATTTCCATATTTGGAAAACATTTTGTTTCCAATTCCTCCTCAATTTTCCCGAGATTTTCGGAGTTCATAACTGTAAACAAACACACAAAAAACATAGAGAGGAAAGTGAAAAATCAATCAGAGACTCTTGCTAGGCTTTTTAGCTATCTGCATTATAAAAAGAAGAAGAGATGCATACATCTAAATTTATACATAGTAGGTGATAGAATATATATATATATATATAAAACACACCCAATTTTCTCTGAAGTAGAGCACTAGAAACCAGAGAATTTATCTGGACCAAACCAGAGAATCTCTCTGGACTAACCCAATTTTCTCTGCAGAGCCCTAGTTCAACCCAGAGAATTTCTCTGGACCAACCCAATTTTCTCTGAAGCAGAGCACTAGTTCAACTTAGAGAAAATTTAGTCCAAATCAGAGAATTTCTTTAGACCAACCCAATTTTCTCTGAAACAGAGCATTAGTTTTTATTGTTGTCTAGAGAAATTTGGAATTTTCTCTGTGATGTGTCCAGAGAAATATATGGAATTTCTCTGTGATTTGTTCAGAGAAATTCTCTGGATTGAATTTTCTCTGGATTGATGTTGAGGGACCTTAGACATCATGAAAATATTGAGTATCCTTTATGCTATAAAATCTTAATACCAAGGACCTTAAAAAAAATTCTCCTTTAGTTTTTAACTTTTTAATTATGATTTATTTGATCTTTAATTCTAAATCTCGTTTCAAATAAATATAATTGAAAATATTATTACTCAATTTTAAGAGTAAAGTCATTAATTTGATAAAATATAAATTAATTTAATAAAAATAAATATCAAAAATTTATTTTTGAATTTTTAAAAATTGTTTATATCTATCAAAGATAAAATTATATCAAATTGATAAATCTTTTACATATTATTTATTTTTACCAAATTAATTTTTAGTATATGTTTGGATGATGATCATGTAATGGGTGGTTGTTTTTATTTTCGTTACATTAGTTTCTATTTTTTCAAAATTCAAATATGGGAACAACTTTAATATCATTATTAAGCCAATCAAAAAATTCAAAATTATTCACCCAAAAAAAAAAATTCAAAATTAAAATTATTTCATATATTAAATATATCGATTACACATCAAAAACTTAATAATCAACCATTATATGATAATCATGAAAAAAATATCGGTTAACAACAAATACAACTATTTATTACATGATAACCATCGAAAATATTAATAAAAGCAACCAACCATTACATGACCATCATTTAAACACATAATACAAATTAATTTCGTAATAAATAATAAATGTGTAAAAGATTTATCAATTTTACATAATTTTATTTTTGGTGGATATCAAATAATTTTTAAAAATATAAATTCAAAAATATTTTTTTGACATTTCTTTTTATTAAATTAGTTTGTACTTTATCAAACTGACGATTTTATCCATAAATTGAGTAATAATATTTTTAATTATCTTTATTTAAAATAAGTTTTAAAATTTAAAATCAAATATTTTATAATTAAAAAATAAAAAACCAATGACATGGATCTCAAATTATAAGAGCTCGTGTAATTCATCTTAAAATAAATGCAATGTGTACGCACGCAGATGCACACACTTCCACTCCAAGCAGGCCTAAAAACGGCCAGAAAGAAGGAAAGCCTTTTGAGTTGTGTTCAGCCAAACGCGGTTTGCACTTGTTTATTGTATTATATTTGTCATATATTAAAAAATGTTTTATAAATTTCTTATAATTTGATTCATAATAACATATAATAATAAGATAGATATTAATTTTTAATTTTCTACACACATAATTATGTAAAATTTTATTATCACATCATTCACATTATTATAGCGTAAAGAATAATGCTTGGGACCCCCTTTTGGGGGTCACCCCCTCACCCCCTTTGCCATGTGGCAGGGGGTGATTGGAGGAGCAGGAAAAAAAAGAAAAAGAAAAAGAAAAGGTAACCAATGAGAGAGAGAGGGGGTCAAAGGGGGTGGGGGGAAAAGGGGGATGAATCATTACTCTTCCAAAATATCCCCCTCACCCCCTTTGACCCCCTCTCTCTCTCATTGGTTACATTTTCTTTTTCTTTTTCTTTTTCTTAATTTTTTTTATTTTTTATTTTAGAGTTTGGGGTTTAATTCTTAAAATTTATTTAATTAATTTTTTATTTTAAGGTTTGGAGTTTAGGGTTTAATTATTATTATTATTTTTTTATTTTAGGGTTTATGGTTTAAGGTTTAAGGTTTAGAGTTTAATTCTTAAATTTTTTTTTTTTATTTCAGGGTTTAGGGTTTATGTTTAAGGTTTAATTTTTAATTTTTAATTTTATTTTAGGGTTTAGGGTTTAGTGTTTAAGATTTAATTTTTAAAATGTAATTTTTTTATTTTAGGATTTAGGGTAAAGTGTAATTTAT